TTAACAGAGAAGGGAAATTATGATGCCATTTCCCAACACAAAAAACTTATGGGTTAAATTGTATAAACTCAGTATAATTTATTTCCTTTATCATGACTTACTGATCTGATAGTGTAGTACAAAGCTGGAGTCTCACATGCAAATCCGCAGCCAAAGAAAATAAGATAGAAAACACTTATTTGTTACTCCTCGTTGGAAGGCAAAGTGAAGCAAAGAGTGAAAGGATAACACTTAACACGCAACAAACCCCACATAAAGCAAACTAATTAAGGATCTAGTAATCAGGATTGGCCAAAAGGTAAGCCTCAATGGCTTTGAAGAAAGCATTTCCCTTGGCTTTCCCAATCTTGAGCTCCTCCTCACTGGGCTTGGCATCTCCTTTGGTGTGGTGCGTGGCAGCCAGCTTGGCAATAGACCCTCCATCGGGTCCAGCAACAAATTTTGTCTCAAAAGTGATCTTCTCCACTGTGTCTGGCAACGCAGCACCCCCAACTATGCTGTAGCTGTATCCCAAGTTCGCCTCATCGATTGTTTCAACTTTGTGCAACACATGCTTCGTCTCCCCACCTGCAACATATATATATATTCATTCAGAACACCTTTATTCATTTCATTAACTTATAATGTTCCATAATTTCCTACTCCTCTTATAGATCACTATCTCGGTTTAGAGCATTTAAAAGTATAGCCTACTTCATCTTAATCTTAATGGAGTATATCCTAGAGACATATAATAATGAATTAGAAAATATTAATGAATATAATAGCTAACCCTCAACTACAGTGAGCTTCTTGATGGATCCGGGGCCACCATTTCCTTCAACGATTTCTACACTCTTGACGGCATCAACAACCTTTGGGACAAGGGTATCAGCATCTTTAACTAGGGCTTTGTAAAGCTTAGCTGGAGCCACTGGAGAAGTGGTTTCATCCTCGAATCTGAAAACACCCATGATGATGATGATCACTTAGATGGAATGAAATGGAAGAAGAATAATAGTATTAGTTTGAGAAGATGCTTGTTGCTGTGTGCTTCCTTAGCAACTAGAGCCTTGTATTTATAAGCACTGGCGCTGCTAGTATAGTATGCATCTTAATCGGTGTGAATGTATTAAACTCTTCTTCGACCACTTTTCGACTTTGCTATGCCTCTTTTTTCTGCTTCAATCACACACAAACACACGTATGCTTTCTAGAAAGTCATTACCTGATTTTTTTTTTTAAAAATGTAAAAATATATATAAATATCACGTTATAATATGTATATTATACAAATCACTCTGATTAAGTAAGAAAGAGATTAAGATAATTAGAAACATAAAAATTTAAGTTCAATTTTTATTACGACCATCTTAATAATTTTTCTTATCTTTATCAAAAATAATTTATCTATTATATGGATTTTTTTTCTTTCATGTTAAATATTAACTTTATTTATCTGTAATATATTGCGATTTGGAAGCATTCAAATTCAAAGACGTTACATTGTAAACACGTCACGTTCAACGATGGCGACTGTTTTCTGTATTTGCTGTAAAGGATAATATAAAAACAATTCTTTAGAACTTCTTAATTATTTTTTTTGACACCTAGAACTTCATAATTAGGAGTTCAGGTTCATAAATTTAATAATTATTTCTTTCGGCTTGTAATTGACGTTATAATATTGGACAGATAGGACATTAGGATGCGTAATGGGGTTTAGGTACAGGAGAACACTCTCGTTAAATATGAGAATTTAGATTTGTAATATATTATAGAGATATAAATATAAAATGAATCTGAATGGTATATGCATTTTTTTTATTCATAAGCTTAAATCACGGCAAATCACGCCTCCATTAAAAATTTATAATATATGACCACCACAAATCGTCTATTCTTTTCAAAACGCTGCATAAAAAATATAAAACAAAAAAAAAAATCAAATTCTAATTAGTAGGAATCAAAAAATTTAATTAATTGTGTCACTCTTACAAGACGTGTATATCTATCTATTTATATATATATGGCAAATCACGCCTCCATTAAAAATTTATAATATATGACCACCACAAATCGTCTATTCTTTTCAAAACGCTGCATAAAAAATATAAAACAAAAAAAAAAATCAAATTCTAATTAGTAGGAATCAAAAAATTTAATTAATTGTGTCACTCTTACAAGACGTGTATATCTATCTATTTATATATATATATATATATATATATATATATATATAATTTAATTTATTTAAATATTTTTCTAAAATGCTTACAAATTCAACAAATTTTGATAGTTATTTAATGAATGTAATATTCATACACTATTAATATAAAAATTTATATTACCAACATACCAAAACTCATTTTAAATATAAATTTTTGAATAATTCTCACAAAAATTAATTAATTTATCATACATATTATTTAAAATTAGATTGTAATGTAAAAGATACAAATTCAATAATAATTAATTTTATATTTAATATTTTTTTATTACCATAATTTACGATAATTATGAAATATCAACCGGCTGGATATTAATATGTGATTATTTTAATTTAATTAATAATTTTTAACTTAATATTTAAATATATAATTTTTTTTTTCGTTTATCATAATAAATACTTGAGACATTGTACGTTGTACTAGCAGAAAAACATTTTTTTTTACTGATTTAAAATATTTTTCTCATCAAGTTTTTTTCTCCTTTGCATGATATTTTTTTTATTACCTTACTCATTCACATATTTTTTTTCCTTCTCATTTGAATTAGTTTTTTGTTTTACTCTTTTACACATTTGCATGATTTTCCCCTGACTTAGTTAAATGATTTTTTACATTTTTCCTTATTCATTTTTCACTTTTCTTGATCACTTGGATATTTTTTTATTCATTTACATATTTTCCCCTTTTTAAAATTATATTCATAATTTCCTAATTAATTCTTTAATTATTTGCTCAATTTTTTCTCTTTTATTTTGTACGCATGATCATTCAAGTAAAAAAATGTGTTTTATTAATAATTTTGAATACACAGGAAATATTAATTGGGGTAAAGTTATATGTATATTTAATCAATGTTATATGTGGAAGTTATAAAAAGTTATATACTCTATATTAAGATATCTTTATTTAGTGACGGATCGAAAAATTATAGATAGTGAAACAATACTTATTCATATATTTGTAATATTAAAAATTTTACATATAAATTTTAAAAGTATAAATATATATCATAATTATTTTTTATAAACTTTTATATTTAAAATTATGATTAGGGATGAAAATAAACTAGGTCAAACTAAGTTATACTATAATTTAGTAGGTCTAAGTCTAACTTTTGTTAAAAGTATACATTCTAAGTATGACTTATTTATTTGTCATAAATATTTTTGAAATATTTAGTTAGAACTTCAACTCTAAAGGCTTGCTTTATAATAATTTAATATTAATAAAAACATAAAAATAAATATGTTAATTTTATAAAAATAAAGTTTAATTTATTTAAGATATAAACATATTTTTAATATCTAATATAAATTTTTAG